CTTGAAACACATGTCGACTAAACTACGCATGTGCAATGACACCAAAATAACTTTAGAGTGGAAAAATACAGTTCCGTGTTGATCGCGATCACCATGTAGCAATTGTTGCAATCTTAGAAGTAACAGGACATTGTTTAACTTTAAAATGGCAATCACTCAAACCGTAACACGCGTGATGATCACAGTCGAGTCTTGAAAATTAAATGAGGGCGATTTGCGAGGGTATTTTATACAAAATGTGTTCGTAAATCCTACTAATAGATATTTATTTTGTTCGTAAATCTTGTCCAAATTTCATAATTTACGACATTTGCGAGCGACAGCGAGAGCACAGGTATTCATAATTTTGTATTTCTGATTGCATCTAAATTAATCTAACACTGAAATTGTGTTAAATTTTTTTGAAAAAAAAAAGAATATCTAGTTTCTTGAATGTCCATCTTGGGCGTACTTTATGTCACAACATTATTTTTTGAAGATTAGCTTACTGTCTACAGAGCTCTAATGAAGCACCACGACCGTATACTGAACAAAGGTAGGCACTGTCAGAAAGCAAACAACTTAAACCAACCCTGGGAAGCATAGAAACGTAGATGATAAAAAGATTAATTTTGACTGAAAAAAAGGAACTCAAGTAGGACTTATTTGGCTGCAGTTTATTACTCCATGATTATATCAATCCAAAAATATTCTAGATTTTAATTCGCACACAAGAAAATATAATTTCCATTTGTATGTGATTAATCTATAATTATGAAAACAGTTTCACAAGCTGGCTGTCCAAAATGGGGTTAGGGGTTTTGAGGTTTTGGCAGCAGTTACACAATTGTTAAAATTGCTGTGATACCGTTGAGCCTCTTCTCTTGGGGTCTATAGTCAAACCTATGGTAATAAACATTTCTTTCAGAGTTGTTTCTTTAATTAATTAAACACGGCCAAGAGTTGACACTAATTCAATATAAACATAAACAATACAACTCTACTGAATTCTCTGAAAACATTAATTATTAGAAACAAGTACACAATTTGGCAATCGTTGACACTGGTTGCTTTTTGTCATGGTTACTCTTCCCCCACAGCGTTATAAATACGTACGATGATGCGGGCCTCATTAGTATTCAAAACTAGGCTGTGTACGTGTATCACTATGCACTGAACGAAGTCAGCCAGACAAACACGCACCTCAGCGATGTAAATCTGATCCGATCAGAAGAGGAAGCACGTTCAATGCCACCAAATAGGTCCACACGAATTAAAGCATAATAATTTTTGGAAACAGTCATATACAAAAGGAACAAATTAGGAAATTTGGTTGAATTTATCGTTCAGCAACTCGTGTTTTCAGACTGTAAACAACGACATGTGCGTTTCAAACACATGCACTCTGCTTTCTGAAAACTGCATTTGCATACAGCGAGCGCGAAACGCCCCCTGCTGAAAAACCACAAATATTTCATTTTTTACAACTGCAAATTTTAGGTACTTCTGGAAAATAATAGTTGAAAGTCCTTATACAAATTATAACTTGACTGTACTCACCCTGGTGAAATTTTAGGCGATGAAGCGACGGCAACAAAATGTTCGAACTCGCGACTAGCCATAGGCTGAAGCCATTTTGAGAGAAACACTTTCAACCAAGATTGACGTCCTTGTTTACAAGTCCTCTCCAACTATTTACAAACTCCGTGGTGTATAACTTTGTAACAAAGATTCTTTCTTCCGTCTTCAAGTGAGCACGTGGAAGCAAAATAATGACAAATTATTCATAAATTCTGAAAATTCGCGAAAAACAGGACTCTGTTCGACCAACAAGCAATGTGTCGATAGAGGGTGCAATTCAGTGCTGTTGAGAAAAGTTCAACGAACAATCAAATATTGCACAACCCGGAAGTCATTGGTTTTAAAAACGCACATGTTGTCCGCAAGATTTCGTGTTGTTTGGCGTCGTCTTCCCACGTTCACAAGATCGTGTTGTACTATGGCAGATGAGAAAACGCAGAGGTTGACTGTAAGATGCATACCCACGGAGGAAAATATGATAATTTCATTTCTCCACGGGGAAAGACAAACCAATCTGCTTCGGTCGCAGTCAGAAAGTCTGGGCAAGTCACTGGGGAGAATTATGAATAATATCAAAAAAGCATCACAGAAAGGTAACAAAAATAAAAAAATGAAACGTGACGATAAAACAGCTACCGGAAGTGACGACATCGACGTAACGCTGTTTATTGATAACAGCAAAGTTTCTGAAGAACTTGAAAACAAGCTCGCGTGGAAAGATGGCGCTGTCCTGGAAATCGGCGATAACAGATACACTGTTGAAAAGAATCCACCAACAATTTTAAAGTTGACTCTTCCGCAATCCATAATGTCTGGATTCCCTGTATACCCACGCGTAGAAATGGAATTTGGTAACTTAGGCAACAGTGAGTTTATTTGGTATAAAGAAGTAAAAAGTGATCTTCCGATTGAAGAATGTGATGAAGCCGTTGCCATGGAGACCTCCTCAACTAGGAGTGATTCTTCTATTGTAGCTAAAAAGATTCTGAAAATAGACATAACATCGAGTCGGGTCCCTGAAAACTGGACTGAAATACACAAAGGAAAGTTCTATATGCCAACAAATTCAGATATCAGCCATAAATTGAAATTGAAATGTGTTCCCAGTGATGGAACAAGAAGTGGAGAAGCTAAGGAAGTAGTATCAAATTCAGAAGTGTCTGCTGGTGTTGGTGTTTGTCCATTTGAAACAAGACATATATATACTCAGAATAAAATAGGAGATGAGGGGTAAGTTCAAGAAATTGTGTAAATGTAAACTGTTCAAACTTTACCACTTCCAATTTTGCCAAGAACAACATTTGGTGAGAGAAAGTTTCTCTCAAAAACTGTTAGTTGTTTTACGTTATGAATGAATCCAGTGAATTATTCACTACTACAAAATGTTGCATTTTTTTCCTGATTCTGGAATTTTCTTTCTCTCTAACAAAAAATTTATATTAGTAAGTATTATTGACACACAGTCTATATACAATAATAGTATTGTATGTGTCTGCTCATACATAGGTATAATCCAATCAGTGGCCACCACATATGTCTGTTCAATCAGGGAGTGTGCAAGGCACGATGCCCTTCAAAAGTGACACCTCCCACACTGACAGTTTATTAAGCATATCCAAGGGGGTGTTCACCGATAAAGTTTCCATGTATCTTTCTCATATTAACGTTGTTTGGGTCTTTCTAGCACCAACTGGGTACAATTGGTATTGAATGCGATATCTGTTTTGTATGTGTGTCCACCTAGGCATTCCCAATTTCAAGGTATAGTTTTAGACTGCATGTTGTAAAGGAATACTAAAACACTTCTTGACAATCTAGAATTAATGCAATGTTGCAATCATGGTAAGCCACTCCACTAGGACCATCTCGTGCAAGTCAGCTGTTGATTGGTTGGTTGAATGAAAATTTTAGTCATCTCAGCTTATATACGTGATTCATTTATGTGATTCAATGTAGTTATTTTTTATCAAGTTGCTTTTGACTTCACTGTGTATACATCTGCAAGAGGTGATGATGTATCTCTTATACTTTTACATTGTCATATTGCTTGGCTCTTGCTGCATCAGGTACCACAAGAATCTACATTTACAGTTCAATTACACATTGTAACAAAGTCATTTTTAACAAGTATGGTGAATTTAAAGCCAAATAATTCATTATCATCCCAGCATACCCATGAGTCTTTGTGAGATTCCTTCAGTAATTAGTTGATCAGTTAATAGCCTCAGATCTTGCATTGTGATTGGTCAATGTGTTTCAACTTTCATTTAAAATTTAAAATATTTATCATAAAAAAAATATATGTAGTTAGTTTTCTATGAGGAATTTAATATTTACAGAAATGTCTTGATTCAAAATTAATATGAGGTAATCTTTATCCTACAGAGACAATAAAGTATGAGGGCCTAGCAAAAACAAAATTATGTTTCAGAGTAAAAAACAATTCAACCAAAAATGTTTATATATATATATAAGAACAAACATACCAATACCTACCCAGAAAGATTATCTACACCGCCTTATAGAGAAAACA